GAAAAGATGACAATGCAGTAAATGAAAATTGTAAATAAAATAAAAAAATGTCATGTATGTAAATAACGGAAAAAATACATGTGTACTCTGTTGCATTGATTTCATGAACCTTTTTGGCCCTACCAATGTAATCTTTCTTTATTTACTGTTTTATTTGTAGTTTTTGATTTTGTTTGTTTGTTTGGTTGTAAGTCCTGTGTAATGTATAATGACACAACATGAAGGGGACGAACACCACCACATGACAGCTAATCAGTGCTGGAGTTAGTTCCAAATGAGATGAAGAGGATATGCAACTAATTTTTGTTGTATTATGACGAGGCAAAGATCGCCATGGCTAATAAATCTACACCAGCAACATACATTGTCATATAACGCCAACTTTGAGGCATCAACATACACACACACAAAGCAGCTGATAAATGCGCTAATTCGAACCAACTGACTGACACAGAGTATGTTGAAAAAGGTGGAGACAGGTATGCTGCATAAAAAGTGGCGAACATCACTTTACACGTCCCCTGTAGTTGATGTCCTTTGGATATTTTCTCCAGGGAATGCCAGTATATTGAGAAATGAACAGGCAGGTAGACAAGCTGGTTCTGCACAACTTGGTAGTGAATTGATGCATGACAAGCTAAATGTTGTAAGGGCCCTTTGGGGGCGAGTGAACAGTGCGGAGGCACAAGTGAATAATCATGATGTTAGGAAAATGGTGCTGCAAGGAGGGACCAGGGGATCTGGCTGATGATCAACACTCGGGGGAAGGGTGAGACGGTTATGCAATCAGACTGTTACTAGTACCATTGGAATTGGAACTGTGTGCTTGCTGCTGAGAATGGATATAGAGCGCTTATAGGAATTTTCCACTTAGGTGATGTCAATTCCTCATTAAAGTACCAACTGTGTGCTATCACATATGGACAGTCCTATGAAAACATAATCACAGAATGACAACATGTGAGAGGAGATGTATAAGAAATGTAGCGGGATAAACAAGAAGAGACAGTCACAAAATCAGCCAGCAGCTAGAGTATACTACATGTGAACAGCAGACTACATGGCAAGAGGTTGACCAAGAAAGAGATGGGTGGAAGGAGTAAAGGAGACACCATACAGCCACTGTATGACATCAATGTAAGCTGCGCTACTAGCAAAAGACAGGAATCTCTACATCTAACTCGTCTGTGTGGCGCTTTACGGCTTAAACAGTAGGACAATAACAGAATAAGACAGAACCTGTGTTGTATGCATGTGAGACATGGAGAAGCTGAAAAACATTTACTTGTGGTAGAGTTTCCCAATTGCATGCATAATTTACAGCAGAACATCTGGGAGGGAGGTAAGGGGAAGTCCATGAAAGAGATAGATAAATTATGTAATTGATACCTGCAAAAGGTTGAACACTTCCATCACTGGAGAAGGGCAAGACCAATACAGAAAACCCTGACACTGGGATACACTCAGAAAACAGTGAGGTGACACAAGAAGAAGAAGGTTTTTTTTCCTACATATTATAAGAAGTGACGGACTCTAGCATTTGGTAAGATTGATGAAAAGAGAGCAAGAGGAAGGCAGAGAGATAAATACCTAGATGGCTTAGCCACATTTGTGGAGTGAGACAAGAATACTGACCTGATCTGTGATTCTGGTAATTGTATAGGATGACATGCAGCACAAGATGATGATGATCTATGTGCAGGGTCTCCTTGGCTTAGACCGAGTTCTGTTTTGAATAAAAGATTATAAGTTGAACTGGTCGTAAGTCGAATTTATATTTTAAAACACTGTTTGTATTTAAATGTATTATAAAACTGTGTACACAAAAATTCTATGTATGTATGTAATTAGACTCAGCTGCTCTCTAGACATCAGCTCTGGGAATTTGTTGTTTGACCCTACTGATCTGTCTTTATTTACTCAGTTTGTGTGATCCTAAGTGTGGATGGTCAATAAGTCAAGGAGAGGTTGACATTTGTTTTTCTTTGACTGTTGATTGTTGGTGCATTTTTCTGTTTGAGTCATTAAAATGCAATTGTTTTTAGTTTTAAGAGAAAGTATATCTGCATATTAATAAAGAGTAAATGAGTACAGTTTGCCTTCAGTTGCTTTGTTGTTTTTTTTAGTATTTTTTCTTTTGTTTCAGATATTATTGTCTTATTGCTTCGAGTATATGTGTCCTCGTCTTTTTTTTTTAATTGCTTTCTTGTCTTCTCCTAGTCAGCCATTGAGGTGCTGTCTCCAGACTGAAGGTTGGCTGCAATGGATTTCCAAGATTCTCTCTCCTGTCTTGTTGTATACTCTCACTCTCTCTGTCTCTCTGACTGCTGTTCCTCCATCTCTTGATGTTGTCTTCCCGCTTCTATCCTTGCCTATTTCTCAGGCAATCAAAACTTTCCCTTTACTATGGTTTTTAAAAGTGTTATGCCTTTTAATGTGGCCAAAATATGTCAGTTGTCACTTTTTTTTTAAATTTCTTTTAGTAACTCTTTTCATTTGTAGTCTCTCCAGCCCCCTGTATTTGATTAGTTTTGTTTCCATGACATGACATATTCTTCTGTATATCCTACATTCAGTTGTGTGGTTGGCATATTGTACTGTGGTTTATAGCTAGTGTGTGATGTCTGTGTGCCTTTCAGTTGAGCGCCTCTAGTTTCAGCAAACTTTATTAGCTGCCCTTTTATGACATGCTTGTTAAGGGATAGGGGATCTGTTCTTGCGCTCCCCATCTCCCCCACAAATGGGACCCTACCAGGGAAACGTGCTTCTCTGGTTACATGAAACAAACCTGCACAAAATAATTCTTAGTCCATGCTTCCCTGTGTGCTGAGTTGCTCCATTCTGGAGAAGATAGAGTAGACACACTGTACCCCCGTAGAATACTGCTAATTAGGAAATTATTCTTAAAATTATGAGTGCATCTGCCTGAGAAGCAAAGCACCAACAGTGTATACAAATATGCCACATTTATAAAATTGATATTCATGCAAAACTCAAGTTCTGGAATTTCCCACCGGTGTATGCTAAGAATAAGAAGATAGTCCATACCATGTTGTGTTAGTCACTGTCTCTCCACAGCTTCTGTTTCACGTACTGTCAGCCATTTCTGATGCTGATGGTCGTCCATGACATACGGTCCAACATTTACTCCCTTGGTCTCAGTCTGCCTCTCTTCCCCTCCAACTTTCTTGTTGTCATGACATTCAGTTTCCCCTTCTTGCGACATGCCTCAAAAACGTAGACCGCCTCCTTAACTCAATACTTTGCGCTTGTCATAAGCACTGACAAAACTTAAATGTTCAAACCAGCCCCAGAAACAAGTCTACCTGAACCAAGCATCACAGTCAAGGGCAAATATTTGGTAGATTTTGTACACAAGTCTTGAACAGAGCTGGCATCAGCCTGCAGACAAAGCTCAAAGTGTAGAAAGCTGTCAAACTTCCTGTACTTCTCTATGCATATGAAACATGGACCGTTTACCAGTGCCATACCAAGAAGCTGAACATAAACTAGCAAGACAGGAGGATCCCTGACACTAAGTCCTTGACAGAGCTGGACTGCCCAGTATTTACTTGATTCTAAAACAATCACAACTTCCCTGGGCAGGTCATATAGTCTGCATGCCTAGCTATCATCATCATCATGTAGCAGGTCCTTTGCAGAACGTCGCTCTCATCACAGTCTGCCTGAAAGAAACTCGGTCTCTCACCAGTTCTCCCGCCTCGTGCACTTTCACATTCAAGGAGTCACCTATATCCTGTGCCCATCTTCGTGTCGGTCGGCCCCTGCCCCTCCTTCCTGTTACCATGTCATCTATAATTTTTTCCAATCCGTCGTGGCACTTGATATGACCAAAATATTTCAGCTTTCGAGAGAGGATGCTGTTTATTAGCCAATCTTTCTTGATGTTCAGATCTTTTAAGATGTCAATATTTCTTATCTTCTTTGTCCAAGATATTCTGAGAATCTTTCTATAGCATTTCAGCTCAAAAGCCCCTATTCTCTTTCTTAAGGACTGAGAGATAGTCCACGACTCACATCCGTATGTAGCCACAGGGAAGATAGTCCACGACTCACATCCGTATGTAGCCACAGGGAAGATAGTCCACGACTCACATCCGTATGTAGCGAGAGGGAAGATGCATGCTCTATACATTCTTATGCCTGATCACCAAATGCAAAAAAAAAAAAAAGAATTTTAAGTGGTGAGCTACTAAAAGGAAAATGCTCTCAACGACGACCTCAAGACCTCATTGAAAGACTTCCGTACTGATCCTAAAACCTGGGAAGTCGCTGCGTGTGAACTCTCATCCTGGCGCTCTCTTCATCGAGGAGCTGTGGCCTATAAAGCTGCTAGAACTGCAGCAGCAGTTTGGAACGACAAGACAAAAGAGACACTGAAGCAAATCATTAGAGAGATGCAGCTTCAATTCCCTGTCCACACTGCTCAAGAACTTGAAGTGCTAGAACTGGCCTTACCAGCCGACTGCGCACTCACAAAACCTAATTCAGTCACCACTGGTTGAAGGAACTGGTCATCGTCATCTGTGATGGACGAATAACAACAACATACTTGCTGGTGAAGATGGGTGCAAAGCACTTGTAGAAATATACCGAGTGCTTAAACTAAGCGGAGGATCTATATCGGTCAGCAGGTTCTTTATAGAACGCGGCTCTCATTACAGCATGTCTGAAAGTCTCTCTTTCTCTAACCAGTTCTCCAGCCCTATGTGCTTTCAATGCCAAGCATCTTCGGTGTCTTGTATCCACATTCTCAGAGTTCTGCCTCTGCCTCGCTTTCCAGAAACAGTAATCTCCATCACCGCTCTCTCCAGACCAAATTACAACAGTTTTCATGACACTGCTGTTTATGAGCCAATTCTCCTCGATACTCCGCTCACGCAGAATGTCGGTCTGTATCTTTTTCTTGAGGATAAATGGCAGCAAGAGAAGTCTGGGTGATGTTGCAGATACCTTGCCTGTCCGAATAACTAACAGTG